CCTATACAATAGAACCATACGTTGTTTTCAACAGTAATATTCGGATTTGTGCTTCTGCAATAATTTTTAAGATAGTTATAAAAAGAAACAACTAATAAAGACCAAAAAATAATGCAACATAAAAATTGACATGAAAATAGGGACCGATAACTAAAAGTATGGGCAAAACAAAAAATAAAGTAGGTTACTTACCACATAAAATTGTAAATAAATTAGAGAGAATAATTATATGTAAAATTAAAATTAAACAACTACCAAAAGATGCAAGAACCTTATTGCAAACTCAGAAAAATATAGTTTTTATGGGACCAAAACCCAATGGTACTGAGGCCCTTCCTATTGGGCCTCAGTATTGCATTCGTGCAGACGAAAAACATTTCTGACCCCATTTTTTAAAACTTTTTTCATGTTTCTGATCATTCTAAATCCGAAAATCCAAAAAAAAATTTTTCGTCTAGTCGTCTGTATGTATGTATGCCGGCACGATAACTCTAGAACGAAAGTTCTGATTTTCTTGAATAATTACTTCTAACTTAGAACCCTATTGATTTTCAGAATTTTCTTAAAATCCGCCTATTGCATTCCTTATGTGAATTTTAATTATTTCTAACGTCAAAATTCCTAACATTCTTCACATTCCATAAATTGCAAGCATTCTCTAACGACCTGTTAAACAACAGCTGTTGATAGTAAAGATGAAATTTCTAAGGCGGGTTGCGACCTTCATACTTGCAACCATTTTGGATGCTATTTTCATTCGAAATTAGTCGCCAAGCCTGCCAATTTATGAAAAATATATAAGCAGTTTCTTAAAAATGACTTTTTATAGTGGTGCTATTAAGAGTACTACTATTTCGCCCCTAGCCACAAAAACACCTTCATCAAATTTACTGGTTCTCTGTCGCAACCCCATAGAATAATTAACCGGCTATTTTATTTGGCAAAAATTAAAATAATGCTTGGCTGTGCCTGTCAAGTATCAAAATGTCAACTGTGATATGTGAATGGCTCTTAAATGTCAAATTATTTAAAAATGTAAACTTCTTTTGATATTTATTGCAAATAATAAATATCTCAATTCAGGCTTTCCCTAAATAAAGGTACAGCAAGACAGATAATATAATGTTCTTATACAAAGCACTTTTTTATTATATAAAAGAGAGGTAGGATATAATGCCCATTTCAAATTTGGATCATTTATGATACCGAGGTATTTTGTTGTGTTTTTCATTTTAATTATAAAGTTGTCATTTATTTGTATGTTGAAAGAAGGCTTTTGTAAATTACATTGCTCTATATGGATCTACTTTAACACAAAAATAGTTTTGTAGCTATAAGTTGCTATAACCTATCTTCGCAAAACTATTAATAATTTAAACATAGTAAGTGGTATTAATATAACAACGTATTTTTTTAAAATAAAGTACATGATCTTAAAACAAATAATCTATAATAAATGCGGATAAAACGAGGGGTAAAATAACAATAAATTAAGGGAAATACTTAAAAAGGGCAGGTTTAAAGAGTATTATCACATTATCCGTTCTGTTTATTTATCAAGTATAGTTTGAGGTTACTTTTGAATACATTTATTGTTTTTTTTTTTAATTTCTGTAGGCAGTCTATTAAATTTTTTAAACCTTTAATAAAAATTGTATTTTGGGAACTTTTAGTGATGGCTTGCCGTACATGAAAGTCAGATTGGTTTCTTGTATTATAGTTGTGATATTGCGAATTATATTGAATTTTTTCTATTAGATCTGATGCGATGGTACTATGTCATTTTTATTTTATAAATAAATATCAGTCATGTACTGAATATAATTCTGAACTGAAAGCCAATTTATTTCTTTTAACATAGTTGCAATATTCATCCTTCTGTCCTTTCTTAATAGAATATATAAATAGGCGAAGTAAGAAGTATTTTACATGAGCAGGCTTAAGAGGTAAAGGGGCAATCATTATTGGATAAATTGCTCGAACAAGTTTTTAAACCCTAATCAAAAGGCGATATAGAATGGTTTCAAAAATCAAGGCTTATGAAAATCATCACATGGTTTAACAAAATAAGGTTGCATTCATATGTTTTTATTTAAAATAACAATTATTTTGAAACATTTTTTTTCGGAAATTTTCAAATAAATTTTAAAACCATTATTTTAGGAAAGGCGCATTAATTTTTACAAACTAAAATTAAATGTTACTCCATAAAATTTGTTTTGGCAGAAAATTTAGATAGATTATACCAACTTTTTAGACAAAATGTAAGTTTAATATTAAGGGTTTACCTAGTTGCTATTAGTGAGATATTTATGATGTAATGTCATTTTGTAAGAAGTAACTCTATATTGTTTATACCTATTGGTCTTCATTAGATATATAAATAATAATCTATAGATAAAACCAAATTATATCATGACATAATAACTCTTAAGAACGTTTTTATGTCCATTTGTATTTACCCAATAACGTTATCTTTTTATAAAGTTATAATTTAGTTATAACTAGAGTTATAGCAACTACTGTAAAAAGTATACTATTAGGTTTGTTTATATCCATCAAAACTCGCACAATAATATATAATAACGGTATAGTGTATTAGAATATGTAAGTTGTTGAGTTTTAAGAAACGTTGTTGCAACGTCGTCGATATAACCCTTATATAACTTTTTGTGTTACTTGGGCAGTTTACCTCCCAGGTACTGATATCGGTAAATATTTAATTAAGTCTTCATGATATAGGTACATGCCTAACATAGACACAACTATTTAGTTTCTTGAATTAATTTAGCCAAAAGCAATATTTATATTTTATATCGTTTAAAAAAAAACTATAATGTAAGTGTAGCTTCCATTTTTCCATCATTCGAGTTAAATCCTCACCGCTACATCAGTCTGACACTGTTTATCAGTACCTCTAGCATTTATAGATAGGACATATTTCTATAACTTCAAATTCATTAAAGACAAACTATAAAATAAAACAATTAGGTATTCATACAAAATCGTACTAAGGTCAAGAAATTATCCTTGTTCAAATAAAATATATAATAAAATTGTCATACCTTTTGGTACAATGTACAATGATTTTTCTTGGCTGGCAACTGCAATCTAAAATCTGTTTAAAGTTAAGTAGTTTACATCATTGCCATAAGAGCCCATTTCTTGATGGAACTCAGTCATTGCTTAATTTTGATGGTTTTCCTATAAAAGAGTACCGATGACATTGAATCCATTTACGCAGTTTTCTGTTTTAGAGTTGGGTATAAAACTCATGACTATTTTGTAGAAACTGGAACAAAACAAAATATAAACATAACCTCAAAAATAATAGTAAATTTTTTACCTGGAGCTTGGACACGTATTTCGTTTGACAGCTTGATTGGAAACATCAAGATAAAAATAATGTAGAGAGGATGTAAATACTATTTTGCGATATGACAAGTGAACGCAATTTGAGTCGTACTTTGATTAATTTGACTTTAATAATAAAATATTAAAATTGACTGAATGAAAATGTTTTTATATCATTTAAATCATGCTATTTAAAAAAAAATGGTATTTATTCTCACTAAAACTGACTAATTCCACTTGCTCGAGTTTGACATGTGATGTAAAACTGTGCGGACACTTTTAGTATTGCCATAGCATCTCTTTATTCTATATATGATGGAAAATTTGTATGCCCCGCCCTACTTTATGACGTTATTGTGTAAGTTGCGCAAATTAAGCTGATTTAAGTGATTTTATGTTTGTTTCACTACGTTTCACGAATCTGTTAACGTGTGACATCTCTTTTTAGCCTAAAGACTTTCGCGAACACTTTATTTATTTTATTTATTTTAAATGAATGTGTTTTTATGAAATATAACTGGGTGCAAAAATTAACCAATATATTATCTGTAACTATCAATAAAAAATTAAAAAATACGTTTACATATTTCCTATATTTCTATAGTATTAACACGGCACTTAACTGCCAGTATGCGGCGATAGCCAATTAATTACTTTGCCAAACGATGACGTAGCTGTGTTCATCTAATTGTAATCTGGCCCTACCACAAAACTGGTACTGATATAATATAATAATAATAATAATAATAATACTCTCCCTAATTCACCCCCTTACGAGTGAATTTTAACCAATGAAGTCGACTGAACGACTCGTGTAGGGGAGGGGACGGCTATTATTATTATTTGCCGTGGCGCTCCGGGGCGACTTAAAGATGATTGATGGTGCCATTTGACTTACAGGTGAGGAAAACCCGGAAAACCTCACCCACCATCATCAAGACGGTAATGTATGGCGATTTTTTAATGTGCATGTCATATCAACATAAATTGAATTTCTATTAATACGGCATACATCAAATTCTAAACCGAACCATGTAATTTAATTAAAAATCCACATGGTCTGGTCTGGGATTCGAAGCTCAGCAGTCTCAGACTCATAAACTTGCCTATAAATGAATATAAGCGCGTTAGACCGCTACACTACCGACCCGATATCAACTTAATTATTCCGTTTTAAACTATCTTGACGTTAGGTAGGTTTCTGGACGTCCCCATCAAAGCGAAAATATATTTTGGAGAGGGGCCTTGATACACATCTTTAAACCAAAGTAATATACAGGGTGATGTGACTGATAAATTGAATCGAATATTTTGCTTTAAAATAATTAAATTAATTTTAAAAAGTAATGAAATGGCAACAAAAAAGGGTCCTTACAAAAAAGTGTAAATTATAATAGTGCTTAAGTATTATAAATTAATTAATTAGTACTGGTGCAAATTAATTATAAATAAACTGTTTTAAATAAATTAACTATTTCTAAATTAAACTGTCGTTACAGTATAATACGGAATTTGTATTAATAGATATTTCTTTCTATTTCAGATTAAAATGCTCACCATAAAATGAAAAATATGTAAACACCAATAAGTATGTGATACTTTTCCGTCCTCTTTACATTTCTACATGTTGCTCATATCTGCTCAAAATGACATTAGAAGTGTGCAAAGATATGTTAATTAAACATTGTGATATGGAGTTTACGATCCAACCAATGGAATCAGAAACCGAAATAGCAGCAAAAAATCTTCAAAATATTAACGAAGAGCTAATGTTCCAAACAAATCCAAACGAACTAGAAGAAGACAACATAGGAATCATTGAAAATATTCAAAATGGCATCGAATACATGCCAACAGAAATCCAAAACTGCGTGGAAGTTGAATCCACGAATATCATAACTATACCAGAAAATCAAATAGTAGAAATTCAATTTCAAACCGATAACGGTACAGTCAATACTGAATATATAGTTGAAAATAGTCTAATAGAAAATAACAATATTAAATCCACATTTATAAATCTCAAAGACGGTGTATACGAAGAAATCATTCCCTATCACGTAATCGAAAATCCAATTAACTCCAGTACAGATAATTTCGAATTAGTTCAGCAAATGGAAGAGTCAATTCAAAGATCGAACGATGATTTCACCGATAATATAATTAATATACCGATGCTAAGTCCTCCGAGCGAAAACGACGAACAAAGCGAAACCGATCTCACAAGTTTAAACTGGTTGCATAACATCACCAACATCATGTCCATGCCTAACATCCCAACTCCACCTGTCTCACCTCCTCCCAAACCAAAAAGAAAATCGACGAGTAACCAAGAAGATTTAACAATAAATATTAACTATTATAAAAAGAATGGCGATAAGAAACCTCCTTTTTCATACGCAACTTTGATTTGCATGGCGATGAGTAAAAATGGAAACAAGATGACCTTGTCGGCTATTTACAACTGGATTTTGGAGAATTTTTTGTACTACAGGAAAGCTCATCCTAGTTGGCAGGTTAGTTAACTTTGTTGCTAAAAAAAACTATATTATATAAGGTAGCGAAAAAAAAAGTCTAGCAAAAACGTATTCTCTTTGAAACGAATGTATGTATAATGAGTATAATGGGTATTTTCCGTGTATTTTCGAAAATAATTATGTATACCTAGAACTATCACATACTATACCTACCTGGCAAGGTTTTATGGTTTGCGATGAGGATTTTATTCATTGATAAATTATCCATAAATAAAATTAGGTACTTGTAATATAAAATAATGTCTAAAAAGCATTTTTAATGCATAATATGCTAATATCTTAAAAAAAAATCAAATCTTAATTTGCTTGCTTAAAAGAGAACGAATCACGGTATTAATGTAGATTGGATATGGTGATAGAAAACGTACCTATGAAAAAGTAAGTGTATTTAAGAAGTAAGACGATTTAAATCCTCAAAGACCTAGATCTACCTTTTTGAGAATAAGGTCTGGTAGACCAAAAACCGCAACTAATGAAGATAAGACTTTAGTTTAGAAGTTTAGAAAAAATCCTAAAACATCTACATATATGAACTGTCAAGAAATCATGTTATTAGCAGAAAAACTGTACCTAAAAACATTTTGCATATAAATAAGTTCCACCCTTATAAAATTCAAAACCACCAAGAATTAACAGCAGCTGGTTTCGATCGGAGGTTAGAGTTTTGTGAAATGGTTTTAGAAAAAATTGATAGGCAGAACAATTTCTTAGATTCAGTGATGAAGCTACATTCTGCTTGATCAGTACTGTTAACATGACATAATTGCCGGTAATGGTCAGATTTAAATCCGCACAGGATGGATGAAACTCATACACAATATCCACAATAAGTAAATGTATGGGCTGGTTTTGTGAGAAACCATTTTATGGGTCCTTTTTTTATTGACAGCCCTCTTACCGGTATAAAATATCTTGATCTTCTACAACATCAAATTATACGTGAAATAAACAATTTATTTCCAAATTAATGTTAACGCTTATTTTCAACAGGGTGGCGCATCTGCACATTATCACAGAATCTTTAGATAGTATTTGGATACCGTTTTCCCCCAGAGATAGATTGGCCGAAGAAATGCAATTGAGTGGTTGGCAAAACTTTCTGACTTGACTGCACTTAATTTTTTGTGGGGGTATCTGAAGGACCACGTCTATGTAAACAGACCAACTAATATAAACCAGTTACGTCTTGAAATGTAGGTTGGTAATTTCTCCAGAAATGATCAACAATTCTATTCAGAGCTTCCAAGATAGATTTTACTATTACCAAGAAACAAATGGCCAACACTTTGAGCACTTGTTGAGGAAATACTGCATTTTTTATTTTGTTTAGTTATTACTTTTGTAAATTATTGTAATTGTTCAACAAGTACATGTATTTTTTCTTTACATTAGTAATGTGATAATTTTTATTTCATCTCCGTATAATTTCATAATTACACATTCATTCGCTTTAAAGAAAATACCTTGTTTCCAGACTTTTCGCTACTCTGTATAATCAATTTATTGTTATCGATTAGCTTTTTTATTTCTTATACAAACGCTTCTATTTTTAGAATTCCATTAGGCATAATTTATCACTCAATAAATGTTTCGTTAAACATCCCCGGTCAAAGGACCAACCTGGTAAAGGAGGATTTTGGAAATTGGATTTAGAAAGATTAGAAGAGTCCAGACGATCAAAAAGGAGGTCAAGTCTGACGGTGCGATCACCAAGAAATCGATTACCCGAACAAAAGGTACAGAAACCTTCCAGAAAAACCAAAAGGTAGGAATATCTAAGTTTACTTTCAAAATTTAATTATACTCATACCTGTTACTAAAATATAAACATACAGAGAAGACATATTGGTTGGAATAAATGAAATATTTTTTGTCTATAGTAGAATCGCTATCGACACGGAGTAATAAATAAAAATTTTACAGAACAGGAGGCTCAAACAAAATCTGTGATTTTAAACAGCCGGCAGTTATAAGTTGTGTTCATTTTAAGAATTTTACCTGTGCCGCCCGTTTTGTAGAACGTAAAAATGGGATACCCTTATTTTAATCCCTTTTAAGACTCTGGTGAGCGCACGGTTGGGTAAATTCGGGACTATTTTTTGTTTGTATTATTTTACTATTTGAAACTGAAATAATTGTAATTTAATCGCCGGGGTGCTTATTTAAGGTGACTCCCCTCGTCACTCACCCCTGAAACAAATTTTTTTGGTTGGCTAAGGCTAATTTTTTGTTTTTTTGTGTTTTTTGGTGGTAACATATCAAGAACTTGGTAAATTCAATATTTTCACCACTTTTTTGACATGCTCCGGTGTTGCTTGCGTTTTTGCAGTCTTGCACGCTTTTGAGCTTTTTTTTGGTAGTATAGTTTCTGACAGCTTTAATTGGGTGGTCTCCGCCGCGCCGCCAGGCCCTACTCCTTTTTTACTAATATGATTAGAACATTTAGATATAAAATATATATGATTACCTACTCTCGAAGATCAGGAAACGTGAAAGTCTCTGATTCACTATATTCACTTGATGAATCGTTATTTACTGATATTATTAAAGATGACACTGTAGTATCGACATCCAAGATTTAGTCTAGATTCCACATGTTTTCTTCATCCTTTAACACATTCTCGATTGCCTTTTGCCAATTTTCCTTCGTAACAAGTGATATTGAGGTTCCTACCAATGCTTCTACATCTATTAACTTAAATGTCGTATTATGTCGATCTACATATCCCGTAACTTGTGTCCATATCAGTTTAATATGATTTAGTTTGCAGTGTTAGGGAGGAAGACGCACAACATCAATACCAAGTATTTTTGCAAGTTCATCCACTACATAACGTACTGGAGGCTTATTTAATTTCACAATTTCTAGTAGTTCTATTTCTATTGATTTTTCTGGAAAGTTAATGTTTCTGTCTGTTAGCCACTTAATCCATGAAGTATTTGACAATTAGACGGGGATGGTAACTAGCGTTACTATAACTGAACCCTTTGGTAAATGTTCTATCATCTGCTGAAAATATTCTTCAAAAACATCAGCGTTCATATCTTCATGGTAGTCTCCGTTTTTATTTAGATTGAAATATTAAAGAACCACGTTTTGAAAACCCGTCATTACTTCCAATATGAGTTAAAATTAGACGTCGTCCTTTACCAGAAGGAACATTCAATCCTGTAGATAACCTTACAAAAAAGCCTGTCGTGAAGATTGAATTTTTGTGTTCTGCCACATTTTGCCAACTGTGTAACCTTTATTCACCCATGTTTCGTCCAAATAAAATATTTTTTTTGCCTTCTGCACGTAATTTAAAAATGGTTCTGAGGTATCTCCGTCTCCAACAAACAATTTCCTCAGAACCAATAATTGCTGCTTTTCTGTCCTGTTTATCCCATTTGAACTTCAAATCTACTAGAGTTTCCCGTAATTTTGTCTTTTTCATTTTAGGAAAATACGGGTCACTATTGACTGCGTTCAAAACCTTGGCAAGTGTTGGTATCTCTTTTTTAAAATAACTTGAACTTTTTTCTTATTCCGCTTTTAATTTGTTCTTTAAATTCCACTTTTTTCTTACCTCCCGCATTTTTCTTTGGGAGTTTAATAACTCCACATTCATTCACTCATATTACTTGTCTTTTCAACAGTATCGTCAACAGAAAACGAAGGATTTTCCATTTTTAGGCAATTATAAACATTGCTTAAAAATATTTTCTCGTTAACTAACAACGCACACTCCGTTTCGCAGGTGTAAACTTTGAACTTGAACCACACTGCATTTTTGAATACTACTATTAACCGAAAATAACCACAACTTCTTACTATAACAGATAATATAGAAGGCTTATCAAACAGATTAGGTAATATTATAATAATATAATAATAAAACGTCTTTATTAAAATTTTTGAAAATTACAAAAATACAATGTAAGAGATTTAGCCTACAGCTATTCTTCCATCTAAGCCTTTTAGTAACAGGATCGATAAATAATATTAAAAACAAAAAAAAAACTATAATATACTATAATAAAAATAAAAAAAAAAAAACAACTAAACTGTTAATGCAAATAAATAATAATTGAATTATTATTAAAAATTAAAAATTACACAATTTGTATACACAATTTAATTTGATCCTCGTTGTTGATGAAGCAGGATATTTTTGAGCTTACGCTTGAAACCAGTATATGAATGGGTATTCTTTAAATCATTGTCAAGTTCATTGTGATATTTAACAGCACAGTATGAGAAACTGCCTTCAAAAATAGCATGTGTGTGGCGGGGCATTGTTAACGTGGATTACTCGCGTACATTAATATTATGCATTTGATTTCTGTAAATTAACCTTCGAGAGAGAGATATATTGGACTTTGAGTGTTTATTATTTTGTGCACCAATGATAGCAAAAAATACTTATACAGATTACTGATATTTAGCCACCGAAGTTCTTTAAAGCTTTGGGGAAATATGATCATATTTGCGTAAAACAAATATGTATCGACAACATGTATTCTGAATTTTTTGAAGCCTTATAGATGTTATTGAATATAGACAAGGATAAAAAATTATATCACAATAAGAAATTTTGCTAAGGATTAGAGTTTCACATAAGTATTTTTTCTTATTAATTAAGAGCAAATCTTTATTAGCGTATAGAAGTTTGAGAATTAGATAACATTGAGTGGACAAACTGTTAATATGTTCAATAATTCGAAGATTCTCATCCAGTAGTAAGCCCAGACTTCTGGCTACATGTATCATAGGAATTGTCCAGAGATAACAGAGATATAAGAAGTCATTCATAAAATATAATATTCATGGTGCCAAGAACAGTTCGCACTCAAAACATTCTATTTCTAGACGCGGGGCGAGGCGACGAAAGGTGAGAAGTAAAAGAAGGGATACAGTGAAGAATTTTACATAGTTTTATCAATGAATAACTGCCCGAGCTTTTACTACTTAACGTAACTTTTCTTGCCGGTGTAAGCCCTGTTGCCACTTCCATTCTAACATCACTAGGTTTTGGAATTTGTTGAAAATTATTACATCTAATTTAATGAAATTACATCTAATTTGGTTAAAAATGCCTATTTTTTGTTCTAATGCTCAATTAAGTCTTTGTAGGAAGTATTTTTTTATAATTATTTGAAAAAAATCATTTACATTAGCCCTTATGATCGAAAAAAAATTTAAATGTCTCAGTTTCAACCGTCTACAAATTTGTATAAAAAATCTTCTTTTAGAAATATACCTCTCATTTGACGAAAAACGAAGGCCTAAATGAAAAAAAACTATTCTTTATAAAAGTTTCGCCTATGTATTGACAAGGTAAAAGTACTTTCCTCATATTTGTTGCTTTTAAATTAACAAAAATATAGCAATAAACCATTAGTGATGTCATGGTTTTACTAGAAAGCAAACATTAAAGGCAGAGCCTATCGACTCTTTATGCATCTATCTCAGTATTGAAATGTATGCAATCAGTTTGACCCCTCTTATATTATTTTATACAGGGATTATTGATTTATCCACCATGTTTAATAGGGTGTACTAATAATTACTTCAAGATTTCTTTTTTATTTTTAATGTAAAATGAAAATAAGAAAATATAAACTATTTATTAAAGGTATTTATTGAAGTATCAATTATAAACAGTAAGGCTATTGCTTTGCAAAATACAATAAATCCCCAATATAAATAAATAATAATAATAATAATAATTGGAAGGAAGTATATAAAGCATAAATTAATAATATTAAAATTTATAATTACAAGACTTTCAAACTAATCAGAATCAGATTCACCACACGAATCAACATTTTCCAAAACATTAGCGGCTGTGGTCAAACCATTTCTGCAGTTTTTCTGTGTCATACAGGTGCAGGAACCGATACAGTAAATATTTTTTTTCCTGCATTTGTAAATTTTGCTTCCACAGTCTAGAACAGAATATTATTGTTAGAATATTGTTTAGTATGTTTTTTGCATTTGCATGATGTAAGTTCTGTTATGTCTGGTGGCAGGTCGGGCAGAGTCTTAAAAGTGGGTATCAGACTTCCATCTTGATCTACTTTCCATCCATACTCTTCAACATTAGGAAGCTGCATCTGGGTTTAAAGAGGTTAGCCAAATATTTAGCTGGTAAAAACATCTTAAACAATGTAGTCTTAGGGCGTCTTCAGTCGGTGGTAATTTAGCGATGGTTTTTGAAGAGGTCAATAATCCCCTCAAAATGTTAATGAAAGTAACATTGGCAGTTTTGAATACATTTTTAGGAAAATTCTTTCAAGATTAGAGAATATGTTTTCAGAGTACTATCATTTGAGCATTAAATTTATTTCTAAAAATAATGTTTACAAATATATGAGCATATTCTTTAAATGATATACAACTTTTGGACTTTCCTATTTTGATATAATTTTTGTCTCTGCTACTTGCAGCAATAAATCCGTAATTAAAATTTTAAACGAAAACTTATAACTTACCCAAATATATTTAGCTGCAACAGGATGAATGTAGATATAATAAAGATGCAAAAATGTCTATATTTTTTCCCAATTTATTAGGTAATTTAATATATAACAAATACACTTATTAATTCTTTAGTAAAAACAGATAACAATATGACACATTGCCCTATGGAACATAACAAGCAGTTTTATAATAAAAAAAATGAAAAATCCTACCATATCAATAATGTGATACATCAGCCCGCACGTAGAGAGAAACAGAGCTATGCTACGTTTGAAGGTGAAGAGAAAGATACACTGAGAGTCGATAAATTTGACGGTGAGAATTAATTACAGCATAAACCTATGACATCTCTCATCGTTTATTGTTATATCTTTGTTAATTCAAAAGCAAAAAAATATAGTGTTTACTGTGTTACCTTCTCAACACATAAGCAAAAATTTTATAAAGAATGTTTTTTAGGCCTTCGTTTTTTGTTAAATGAGTGGTATATTTAAAAAAGACGACTTTTTAACTAAATTTTTGAAGGGCTAAAACCAAGATATTTACGTTTATATTTTTTTTCGGCCGTAAGTGCTAATGCAAATGATTTTTTTTAAATAAGTATAAACAATTACTCCCTACAAAGATTTTATTGTGCATTTGACCAAAAAATTAGTATTTTTTTCTCTATTCGGTGGTATCAATATCTGGATTTTTGATGATAGTGCCCTTCTGCACAATCTAATTTTGTATTAACTCCGGAAAAAGGGTTACCTTATCATGACCTTTCATCTGTGAAAAATTCAGCTATGTGACAAAAGAGTGGGAGGTGAATCGTTTTCTTGAGCGAATATTTTAATACATACACTTTACTAACAATGACAACAGCGGATATTATACCCACAATATATTGTGATTATACCCTACTGTGTCCCTTAGAATATGTCTTATTCACGGCCGCACGATATTTGTTAATAGTTACATCTCCTGGTTATCTCTGGAATTGTCTCATCGTCAATTTTTATGGAAAAATTATTTTTAATATATGATCGAGATTGGGCATTAGAAAATATGATTGATTTGGATTTAGATGGATTTAAATGCAGATTAGGATCCAAAGAAAATGTTTTTATTCTAGCTAGGTCCTTATTAACCGCTTTACTTTCTACCTCTGCATTAATGGAATGAAATGAATGGCGTAGTTAGGTATCGTCAGCAAAAAACTGGATTTTACATGTCAGAGTTTGTTCACACAAGTCTGACGTATACAGAAGAAAGAGTAAGTGACCTAGGATGGAGCCCTATGGTACGCCTGATTTTATGGACTCAAATGCAGATGACTGATTATTTATTTGAATTTTTTGTGAATGATTACTAAGATAAGATTTAATAAAATTAAGAGATATGTCACTAAAACCATAGTAACTACATTTAGAAATTAATAGCAGATGGTTGAGGGTGTCGAATGCTTTACTATAGTCAAGCAACACAAGAGCTGAAGCTTGACTATCATCCAATCCAGTTATTATAGAATCAGTGTCCTTTCCTAAATCCTGATTGGTATAAGGGCAATATTTTATTTGAAGTGAGAAACCTATAAATTTGTTTATACGAAATCTTCTCTAAAACTTTAGAGAGAACCGGAAGCAAACTTATAGACCTCAAATCGTTGAATGATAGAGGGTTATTTTTTTTAGCCACTGGTACAACAACTTCTTTTTTCCACTGATCAGGAAAATAACCTTGTTCTAAACAACAGTTAATAATATGTGTAATATACGGTAAAATGACTGGCATACATAATTTAAGCATATCCAGAGAGATGTTATCTACTCCACTGGCATTCGATTTAACTTCAACAAATGTTTTCAGAACAGCATCTACGTCTACAAGACTAAATGTAAAATTATTGTTATTAATATATTTATGAGTACGGTAATAAGCCGTTTTTTCACTACACTGTTTTGGTAAACTGATACAAACGCTTCATTTATCTTGAAGGGGTCCAATAACTTGTGAGGTATGTCATTGTTTTTTGAAACTTGCATATTCATTGATTTTAAAGTTTTAAAGAATTTTGACACTCCCTGTCCACTTACGTAACGTAAATATGCAGCTTTTTAATTTTTTGTAGCCGCAACAGCAAAATTTCCAAGGCGTTTGTAGTGATCCCATGCTTCAGGCGTTTGAACACGCTTAAAGTTAACCAGAGCTCTGTTACGTTCTTTGTAAATATTTTTTAAATTTTCCGTTAACCAAGGTGCTCAAGGTTTGCTAACTCTAATAGTTCTGTAAGGACAGTGAATATCAAATAGCTGGGTAATAGTGTTAGAAAGAAATCGAACTTTACTTTCTATATCTCTTATAGAGATTAGGTCATTCCAAGGAAAATTAGATAGGTCATTGTTAAAACAGTCAAAATTGATTTTTTTAAAGTTTCTAGAAGTGACAAATTTTTGTTGATTACCAGTAAGATTAAATTTTATGACGCAGTAAGCAAAGCGGTGATCAGAAAATAGGTCAGCATTTAGAGTTCCACTAGCTAAACACAGTTTTGAATTATCAACGTAAATAGGATCTATAAGTGTTGCCGAAGTTGCTGTAATTCGTGTAGGTTCAGCTATTACTTGTGTCAATCCGTATGCTTAACAATAATGGTTAACATTGTTATTGCTGTTAGTTAAATCTACGTTTAAATCATCCATAACGAAGATATTTGGCATTAGTAATCCCCAAGAAGATGATAAAATAACGATTAACCCTTAGATTATAGATTTCTATAATCTATCCCAGCTAGCACAAAAACATCCCACCTACGTTAATAAGCTGCAATTTTAGGCTCTTTAAGCTCGCATGCAATGTACTGTAAATGTAACCCTTATCTCCCTGCAACTACCGAATGTCCGCAACGGCAAGACTTTTATAGCACATCTCACAGAAGTTACAAAGTGAAGTTCGAAAAACATCACACTAGCACTTTTACGGTACTTACCCCGAAAGTTGCTCTGAAACGTTCTATTGATGTTATAATGTGAATTAGATCTACAGCATTATACAGTGTGTCCACGGATGGGCTTAACTATACTTGTGAAAATATTTATTTTAAATTAAAAAAGTAATTCCTCATAATTTCTTGCTTGTTAAATAAATTCGATTCACATTGAGAAATTATGAAAAATAACTTTTTCTTTAATTTAAAATAAATATTTTTACAAGTATAATTAAGTCCATCCGTGGACACACATTGTGTAATGTAATACAGAGAGGCTGAAATTGAGGCTATAGTAAAATCTCAATCGAGACATGAAAATTTCAAATAAAACAAAATATTTATATAAATTTATTATTAAAATGTTCTTGAAATCAAGTACAAATAGCACAAAAGTAGAGGTAGGTGTAGGCGTGTTCTTTTATTCAGTGCTGTATCCAGCGCTTGCAGCAAACCGTTCGTAAATTAAGTGATGGAAAGACGATTGTATGTGTCAATTATTCTTTTTTCCAGCGGTGAGTTCACCAATGAGCCAAGGCATCCATCGGCTTTAAAAGCCGATGGATATGTGATAGACGAATGGTGAGGATAATCAATCATTTAAGTTAACCTAAAATATAAGAGTTCAAATATAAAACGACTGTAGAATAGATAAATTACATCAATCACTGATGGAACAATTATTGAATAAAAGAACACACCTTATATCACAAACACAAGTACACATGTGGGATAGAATAAGCTACCTAGAAAGCACTGAACGATTGGACAAAATTAGCTAAATAGTATAATAAGGTACCAATATTGCAAAGGTTCACTAAAACCTTAAATAGTGAACGATGATAAAGCTAGATTGGTGAAAAATAATAAACGAATACAACAATGACTAGGTACATATTATTATATTAGATTACTAGAGGATAGCTAAGTTCGCTGATTTCTTACCTAAGACGCAGAGATATATCTTTTTTAAATCAAGCCTTTTAACTTTTTTTGCATAGATATTTATAAAGTGCTATAATGTAACCTAAATATGACAATTTATTAGAAGAGCATAAATTATATTTTTATATAAAAAGATTTTACTTCTCAATACATTGAATAAAAAAGAAATTGATAACTTGTTTACCTATTATTAATTAAAGGAAATTATATAGAAATTAAAAAATATGCCTTACTTTGTTGTTTTAAATAAAACAACCAATGTTAGAGTATTGAAATTTGTTTGAATTTTACAAATTTTATGCTTGATTTCCAAAGTAGATATATCGATGGCTCAATCAAAAACCGCCACAAGTCAAAAAACAAAGCAATTACATTTTTAGTTCAATGGATGCAAAATATCATTACGGTTTTACTTTAAATACCACCACAAACAAAAATATCCTTAAAGATAAATCATTTAAAATGTAGCCACAAACTGTGTCTAAAACTGCCTCAATTCGAGTTATTTTCTTCAAAAACACCCAAATTTTTTACAACTATGCAACAACTCACTTTTATAATCGTAATCATTTTATTTAACAGCAAAATATCGAAGCTTTTAAATAAAATATAAAGAGTATGTCAAAAACAAAATAATGATAATAGACTTACAAAATTTCAAAATGAAATTTCTCGAAATAATAGTATTTTAGTTGTGGCAGTATTTGATTGAGCCATCGATATGTAGATTTTATAAAAAACAACTGGTGTTTTTTAGCAAGATATTCTATTATACTCGAGAGTATCATCTATGATTTCTCTCAACTTTTCTGCTGGGTTTTCACTTGAACTGATGGTTGCATTTCCAGGCAATCTAGCCTGTTGAAGAGAATGAACTGCTTGAATTCTGATATACCTGACATATCATGTACCTATAGATTCACTTTTTATAAAACTTCAGGTGTTATATTCTTCTTTACACTTCTGTAGTATTTACTTTTGCTTCTAAAATTCCTAGAATGTCGAAGGAAACCTAAAAAATAATATTTTTAAAATGTATTTTTAGTTCGATAAAGAATAATTACCTTTTATAAGTATTTGGTGTAAAATGTTGCCGGACATTCGGTTAAATGTTTATCTTCTGGTTTACAACGATTGATCTGCAATTCTTTGTTTTTATTGTAGTTTTTTTTTTATTTGGTGTCATGGGCATCGACTGCTAAAGATACTTAATGAATGAAATAATAAATTTACATCAGGCATTGTAATCTGAAACAAAGACAATGGTTTAGAAAATAGTTAGGTATCTATTTTATAGAGGACCCTTACCAAATCTATTCGAATGTATAAATAATAATTATTTATAAAATAAATTCTGGATGTCGAAAAATAAACCATTAAAAAAGACAATTGACAAGAAAAACTGACAAGTGACAATTGACATAAAACTAAACGTTATGAATTCAGATTTGTAATGTTTACGGTAGGTTAACTAGGTAAATAACAAATAGAAGTTTTGCGAGGTTTTGATTTCCCTCAACAACTTCTCTAGAACGTTGCATTTACGTTGTACAGTAATGTTATTACGTTCCCTTAATGCAACATCGCCGAAAGGCTTGGCAACGTTATGTGCTAGCTGGGATGGATGTATCCCATTTACATTTTTAATACAATTATAGTCACATTTTTTCATCCCAAAATCCTTGATGTCGTTCTTAAAAAACCTATAAATCTTGGTGAAAACGTTCTCCTAGCTCTTCACTCATACTTTCCAAGTTTTCAGAGAAAAAGCTCAGATGCAAGTGCAAAAAATGAATCTTTAATGACACGTTTACTCCCATCTGTTGAAAATTTTCCAATAAATCGGTAATAATTTCTTTGTAATTTTCATTTTTTTTTTATTTTCCAAAAAGTTTTCCACAACCATTTTGAATGACTTCCAAGCAGATTTTTCATTAACAGGCTTTTAAACTGAGAATTTTTTATAATTTTACGAATCTGTGGGCCAACAATTATACCCTCTTTCAGTTTTGCTTCTGTAATGTTTAGAAAGACTTTTTGGAAATACCGGAAAGCATCACTGTTTTGTCAAGCGCCTTCACAAAATTTTTCATGAGTCCCTATTTGATGTGTTAAGGGGTAGAGTGATCTTATTTGGATCTACTAACAGCTCGTGTTTAACGTTCATTTTACCCGCAAGATACTCATTTCGAATAGGCCATTCTTTTCTTACATAATGATGTTGTTTTGCTCTATTGTCCCACAAACAAAAGATACAAGAGCATTTTGTGTAACCACCCTGCAATTCCAATAACAAACCGATAACCTTGAGGTCGTCGCACACTTTCCATTGGTATTCTTTATACTTTATTAAATTAATTAAAGTACACAACGTTTCACAGCTCTCTTTACAATTTACTGCGTGTCCTATTGGTATAGATGGTTTCTTATTTCCGTTGTGTAATAAAACAGCTTTTAAACTATATTTCGAAGAGTCTATGAATAAGCGTCACTCTGTTTTATCATAGTTTTGATTAATTGCTTCAAAACGCCCCAGGACATCAGTACAATTACAATATTCACCATCTCTTTCGAAAAATTCTGAGTAAACTGCTTCTGCTCTGCTTTAGATCCTGGTAATTGTAAATCTCTTATAAGATATTTAATTCGACCTAGTTAATTGAATGTGGAGTGTTTCCTTGAAGAGAGAACTCAGTCAGAATCACTAGAAATCGATTTCAATTCAACATTACTTTCATTGTCACCTAGTATATTTGCACTCGAATTACCGGGACAAACTGGATGTGGTAGATCTTTCGATTGAAAAATGGGCTTAATAACAGACGAAACTTCGGCATATAATAATATAATTAATAATTGCTTTATTTTTTTTATTATATCCCAATATCTTCGTAACACAAAAGTAAGACGATTTTACAGCTTTCGTAAAACTCATGAGGTACCCACTTTTCCTCTTGGTTTCCAACAGGAAATCCAAAATAATGAAGATATGCACTTTTTACGGGTCTTCTCTTTTTTGAAAATATAAACTGTCCACAAATATAACAAAAACGATCAGAACTTTGTTTACACTTTCTACTCGATATTTTACATAAATCTGAAACAAGATATTGGGTTGTTGCATAAGTCTTTGCAATATTGCGTAATAATTTAGTTACGACTGCTTCAAGCGGTGCAAACAGACAAGTTCATACATGAATCAATTAGTCGTCTAGAGAGCTTCTTAATGTGCGACAATAATAAATTTTATGTATTTACATTATTAAATAATTTTAAAATAAATATTATGTTTCTGCAATTAATTGTCATTTGAAGCAAACGAATAAACAATAAACTATCGTCCGCACGTTGGATAGTTGAAAAAAAAACGCTGTACTGCAGAACGAAATTGTGACTTTTAAGGAAGGTAGATAAACATATTTATATACATTTCTTTCGGGATATAAAAAAAAGTAAAAATTTATAAACTAGTGTAATATTTTATTGGCACGAGAAGTCACAGTTTACCACACAAAAATAATTATACAGGGTGTCTGTAAAAGGTCTTTACAAAAACATACCACATATTCCTTAGACCAAAATAAGTCGATTTAAGTAAAATTACCTTATTACAAAGTTGATTCGTTTGAGCTCCAGAGGGCCTTGAAGTTACAATTTTTAAATCGTTTTTCCCATATAAATTTAAAACGGCATATGCGATTTTGCTGAAATTTGGTATATATGTATGTAGTTTTATGTGGCAAAAAAAATGGTATTAAAATTTTGTCCGATAATAATACATTGGCGTAGAACTTGATTTTTTAAATAATTGCACCTTTAAAAATTCTACGCCAATGGAAAAAAAAGGAGTTTGGGTATGAAATTTAGATTGCGCAACTCATTTACTTTAAAAAAGGTACTCTTGATAAGACTCGATTACTCTCGTGGTTTTCGCTAAATTTCTGTTTTAATAATTTAGAGTGTATAGGTTTCACAAAAATATTTATTTACAACATAATCAAAATAGAGATTTTACAAAAATTGTTCAAAATGTTCACCATTTTCACGCATACAAAGATTTATACGTCGAAGAAAATTAAAATGTATCCTTTCCATAACTTCTTCATCACCTCTAAGATTGTTTATTGCATCTTGAATACGTTGTCAGAGTTGTTCCTCATTTTCTACATCAGGTTCCCTGTAAACTGTGGATTTCAGATGTCCTCATAAAAAGTAATCCATCGGTGTTAGGTCTGGGGAACGTGGTGGCCAGTTTACAGGTGCGTCATTACCTCTGCCTATCCATTTGTGTGGATATTGTTCATTCAAGTGGTTTCTAACGTTTAAAGAAAAATGCGGTGGAGCTCCATCTTGCATAAACCACATATCTCTCCGAAGTTGGAGAAGTAAATCTTCTAACAATTCTGGCAACGTATTTTGTAGAAAATCCAAATAATTTTCTCCAGTTAATCTTCGTGGAAGTATGACAGGACCAACAATGAAATTACCAATTATTCCAGCCCACACATTAATTTTGAATTCGTGCTGAAAATGGTTTACCTTTATTTCATGCGGATTTTCAACGGCATAAACATATTCATTATGGGTATTAGTTATACCTCTTCTTGTAAAACCCGCTTCATCGGTAAAGATAACCTTCTT